CTGCTAGGGTTCTTCAGCAATTTTACTTGGGGAATATCTTCTTACGTTTGTATTAACCAAGCAACTCACAACTCAACCATGTGCAAGGCAACATATTCTTTGCTACAAAATATATCTCAAAACTTAGTGTCGGAACAGCACCAGTGACATGTGCATTTCCTGAAGTCACACGACACCAGGTTATAGTCCAACAGGCTTATTTGAAATCACAAGCTATCGGAGTATTAGTTCTTCACCAGGTGAAGTCCTTTTTGCACCTTGCCCCTTAGCCAAAGGTACCAGGCTCACAGTGCTGCTGTACTGTCTTGCTGTTTAGCACAGACACGAAGCCAGACGTTTCTCCTGGTTGTTCACAGGCATCAGGAGAGCCAAAGGACACAGCCTTCTCTCAGGGGGTTCCAGCACAGCAACTCAAGGGCACCATATGACACCAGTCTAGAGACTTGGACATGGTCAGTCAGCCACTTGGGACTGTCAGAGTCAGAATTCTCTCCACTTAAGGGGTGAAGAGCCAAATGTTGGGCAGCCCACCATCCATCTAGACTTTTCCACCTGTCAGAAAGCCCACAGCATGGAGAGACTGCAGGCTATAGACAGACTGTAATGTTTATCTTTTAACTTTATTTCTTAATCTTTCTAATTTATACTATGAAGAACTGTAATGTAGAACTTTCAGCTTTTCTCTTTATTTCTTATATTTCCCTGAAAACCTGTACTTTGTAATTGAGTACATGTGACAATAAACCTCATTCTAATTCTTACTGCCTTATTGCAAGCTGTTTTATCGTGGAATGAGAGAGAGAGAGGCAGGTAACAAAGGCAATGAAAGTGGGTGCCACAGCTGTCACTATTGCTGCAGGTGGAAAGGTGTCCCGAGTGATAGTAGATAGGACAGAGGGTATACACCTCTGGTTTAAGTGGGTTAGTGGTGTACAGTTTGGGGTGGATTACAGCAAATGATGTTGCAGGCAATATAAGAGTGGCACAGCATGAGTCTCTGTGGGAGATGGGTACAGTCTCAGAGAGCTATTGGAGAGGAGATGGTGGCACATATGCTTGCAGAGTGGAGAAAGTCATTGCCTTTCTTCCTACTTCAATGGGCATCCCTCCAGACAGCTGAGACGTACGGCAACATCAGTGGCATATACTGATGTCCTGGCCTCCTCCTGGGAGAAAAGGAGCTCACACTTCTGCACCATTCCATCCACCAGGATCGCCAGGTCTTTGCCCGCAAAACAAGCCATAAAATTCCCCTTCTCCAGGGCAAATGTAAGGAACTGTGCAGACCAGCTCTAGACTGACAGTGCCTGATGATGCGGGCACCAGGGATTCCAGTCCATTCTGGGATTGGCAGCAGTGGAAGTCATTCTGGGGCTAGGGTGGCTGCTAGAATGAGGCTAGGATCAAGCAAAAGCAGGCACCATGGGGTGAGGCAGGTCGTTAATGAGGCAGGAATGGCAAAATACAGCAAGAGATCTCAGTGGGCCTTACAGCAAGAGACTCTCCCTGAAGCCTGACAAAACCGACAGCCAAAAACCCATAAGATTCAACCAATAATTATTTTATTGATTATTAACTGACTCAACTTTAAACTGGACTTATTGTAGATTGTATTGCTGTTCTAACTTTGTATGGTAAAGTTTGTGGTTGTCTGTTCAAAACTGGTGGAGTCTTATGGCTTTACTCTCTTAAAAGATACCTGGAAACACATACTTTGTCAAATTAAGAAAACGTTACTGGTTCCTACTGCAACAATAATTTAAATTTGGCGGCCTGTTCTGGTATTATAACAATACAGTCCTGTTAACTTTAGCACATGTGGTGATGTGAAAAATGGCGAATTACGCATGTGTCATATTGCATTTGCCATGATAGTGCGAACATGAATGATTGGAATTTTCACTCTTGATTAAGGGTAACATATTAAACGCATTCAGGATTCAGCCATTGTTCCCATCTAAAATCTAATAATGATTAGTTTTCTAAAAAAAAAATCAACAGGAGGAGTTGCATACATTTGTCCAAAATACATTTATAATACATGTTGTAGTGGGAGGGAATATTCATGCTTCACGTTCAACAATCCACTTGAAAGTCCATTCGGAGTGAACTACATTCTGACATCGACTAATCATATTTTAGTGCATGATATAGGCAATGTTTTCAATTCCCCCTATTTCTGTTTCCACACAAGTCTGGAAACATGTTTTTGATCCTCTTGGCTGCCTAACTAGGAAAAGAAAGAGAAGAAAAGCACACTGTGTACAGAAAGTCTCTCACATAGCAATCTGCTACAGTTATCCTCACCATGTGCATACAGAGAAGCCTGAGTGAATGTGCTAACTGACAGTAATTGTATATTACTGAAAGATGTCCTGCACCAGTTATAACACAAGGCCTTCACAGTGCAGTCTAACTCGTTGGACCCAATGCTGACCTCATGCTTTTCATCCAGTAAAAGCTGACTCTATCCATTTTTGTTGCTTGGGAAGTCTTAGAGACCATGGCACACGTGTGTGTGTGCATTAGCAGATGCGCATGCTAATAAGTCTCTTGCTCTGCTTAAAATGAGCTGCTATAAGACAGTTGTCTGACCCTTCTTACTGTTGTACAGTTGTGCGTATTTGGCGATTTGCTTGACCCATTCATCTGATGTTTAGATGTGATTGGTTTACGTCACAAGAAATGGTTTGACTTTAAACAGATGTAGTTTCAGTAAGACTACAAGACAGCAAAATTTCCTGCAGTGTACCCGACTCCTCCAAACCATTAAAAAATGCAATCAGATTACATTGTGTGTATGTGTTTGTGTATGTGTGTGTGCGTGCACACGCGTGTGTTTGTGTGTGTGTGTCTGTGTCTCTCTGTGTGTGTCTGAGTCTGTGTGTGTCTGAGTGTGTGTGTGTTTGTGTGTGTCTGTGTGTGTGTGTGTGTCTGAGTCTGTGTGTGTGTGTCTCTGTGTGTGTGTCTCTGTGTCTGTGTATGGGTGTGTGTGTGTGTGTGTGTGTGTCTGAGTCTGTGTGTGTCTGAGTGTGTGCGTGTTTGTGTGTGTCTGAGTGTGTGTGTGTGTGTCTCTGTGTGTGTGTCTCTGTGTCTGTGTATGGGTGTGTGTGTGTGTGTGTGTGTGTGTGTGTGTGTGTGTGTGTGTGTG